ACGGCGTCGCCAGCTTCGTGTCCTCGCTGGGCTGCAACACGCTGCAGAAACCCACCGTGTTCACGCGCGTCTCTGCCTTCACGGACTGGATCGACGAGGTGAGCGCACGGGGACGGGGACGAGCGCGTGGGGACGGGGACGGGTGCTCACGCCGTCCCTCCTGAGCGCCGCTCGCTTCTCTTGCAGGTTGTGAGCAGCAACTGAGCGGCGGCGGGGCGAATAAATCCCGGTCCTGGCTGCGTGCGCTCCCGTGTGCTCTGTGTTGCGGTGCGAGTGCTGTGGGCGCGTTGCATGGCTGCGTGCACGCGTACGGTCACGCAAGCACGCGCAGCTTGCACGAGCGTGCAGGCAGAGCTGTGCTTGTGCACATGCACGCTGCAGGGTTGCGCGTGTGCACACGCTTCTCTGCGCGTACGCACAGCAGAGGCACGCACGCACGTGGATATTGTATGTGCATGGATATAGCACATGTGTGTATTGCACGTGCATGGATATTGCATGCATGTGGATATTGCACATGTGTGGATATAGCACGTGTGTGGATATTGCATGCATGTGGATATTGCACGTGTGTAGATGTTCCACACACACGGCTATTGCACATGTGTGGATATTGCACACACTTGCATATTGCACGCATGTGGATATTGCATACGTGTGGATATTGCATACACAGGAATATTGCACACGCATGCAAGTGTGTGTGCAGGCACTGCCATGCGTGCACAAGCAAGCTGCATTGGTGCGCATGCACGTGCAGGCACATGCGCGGCTGGCGTGGCCCGATGCGGCCCCGGCCAGGCCGGCTCCCTTTGCCAGCAGGTGGCACTGGAGGAACAGCCGGAGCGGCCGGGTGGGCACCCGCGCCCGGCTCCCTACAGCCGGAGGGGCCGGGCTCGCCGGGAATGGGGCAAGCCCAGGGATTGCCCCGGGTCTGGAAACTCCCAGGCCTTGGGGACGGACACATGGACATGCCTGGGCACCATGGGGAAAGACCCACTGACATGCCCAGACACTGCGGAGATGGGTACGGACATGCCTGGGCACTACAGGAATGGACACACGGATATGCCCAGACCCCGCAGGGATGGGCACGGACATGCCTGGGCACCAGGGGAATGGCCACACAGACATGCCCAGACACCACGGGGATGGGTATGGACATGCCTGGGCACTACGGGAATGGACACACGGATGTGCCCAGACACCACGGGGATGGGCACGGATGTGCCTGAGTGCTAAGGGAATGGACACACAGATGTGCCCAGACACCACGGGGATGGGCGCAGACATGCCTGGGTACTAAGGGCCTGGACACACAGGCATGCCCAGACACCACGGGGATGGACATGGACATGCTTGGGCACTAGGGGAATGGACACACAGGCATGCCCAGACACCACGGGGATGGGCATGGACGTGCTTGGGCTGTAAGGGCCTGGACACACAGACGTGCCCAGACACGGCGTGGATGGGCCCCAGCCTGGTTGCACCTGGACACACCTGGACACACCTGGAGGCGCCCGAGTGCCGCAGGGCCGGACGGGCGCACGGAGCAGCGCGCAGGTCCCGCGGGGA